TGAAGATATCGCTACCTCAGCTTTTGATATAAACGTGCCCTCCTTTAAAACTAAGAAGCCACCTTCTTTATCGGACGGTAACAAAGCCAAAGCGTTAGTTTTCAAGAAGGACACCGTCTGCCGAACTCGAAAGTCATTCTCCCTCTGACCGCACTTCACCAATACATCAACACCTTCAGACACGCACCTGTCAGCGTCCGCCTCTGGAGCCAGTTCAGACACTTGTCTCACCAAGGTTAGCAGTTCAGGCGCAGTCTTTACAGGTTGTATGGCGAACTTCGGTCCTTTGTTCAGAACTTTGCGAATGCCGTCCGGAAGAGACACATCCCCGAGGGTCTTGACACCGTCGACGTTTGCCCTTGTAAACTTAGGTTCAGAAGCACGAAGTTCAGCTAAAGTTTGCATCCACATAAACTCAGCTGTAGAATCCGCCAGGCTACTGAATTCTCTCCATTTTCTAATTGGTCGAGGTTGTATATTTGGGCCATGAAGGCGCAGGAACAAGCAATCCTTGTAAAACCTTGCCTGCCTATTCCACTCTGCACGTATAATTTTGCACATTCTTGTTCCATGTCCTTGCGATGGAAAGAAGCCACCAAAAAGCACCAAAACTTCTGGCGGCAGCCACTTCTTCTTTAGATAAAACGACAGGGTACGTGCTCGGCAGACAGAGACGGCGAAGAGGGTGATGAGGAAGTAAGGATCCACATAGGAACAGTTAAAAGAGCCCTGTGTACTAGAAATGAAACTTGCTAAGGTTAAAGCTTGGGCGAGTTGGTTCAAATACATGATTAAAAACACAGCGCAAACAACGGCAGGAAGAAAGGAAGAGACAGGACAGAGCGCTGACTTACAACTGATCTTTATTAGGAAATGCGAACAAATATATATCATGGCAGGCAAATAACACGTGTCCACCACAATATCAAAAAATTCGCACAAGCGTCACCATCACCATATCGCTACTGTCTCACCGCACACGTGTTCATCCTACAGATAAGAAGTCCATCTCTTTTTGAGAGAGGGTTACAGATGCCCTACTTACACATTGATCTTTCAGACGTGCAATTTCAGCCGCTTCCATTATCTCCCTAGTTTTTCTTTCTTTGTGCCTGGCTAGGATTTTAGTGTCGCGAAACTGCGGTGTGCACCCACAATCCCTACAATGGATGCCAAGGTGGCCGCTAATAGTATTTTTCACGTTGTACTCGTGCTCCTTCAATCTTGTGTTTACGCACCTTCCTGTTTGGCCCACGTATATCCTTCCACAGGACAGCGGGATCGAATAAACTACATTTTCCGCGCAAAGTATGTAGCTAAATTTATGATTTACTGCGCAGAGCTGCGGCACTCTTGCGGGTTTATTCACTTGCGCACATATGGACGCATGAATTACCAGTGGGGCAGGTCATTAGGTTTCTTGATCTAAAGCTTAAATTTGAAACAGATCACATTTGCTGGGAGTATGAGCCACGAGCCAGTAAACCATTGCTACCTTTTGATTCCTGCCATTCTAAATTGGTAAAGAGGTCTATTGCCACTACGTGCTTTACTAATGCCCTAAAGAAGTCTTGTCGCCACTTAATTTCAGAGAGCTTCAGTAAACAACTTGAACGCCTTAAGGCAGCAGCTTATCCATCACATCTGTTAATTTCTGTCGCAGAATCTATTTTAAAAAAGCTAAAGCATACCCAGGGCCGGCTATCGTTATCGGAGTGCAACAGAAATAAAAAGTGTACCGTTGTGCCGTATATGCATGGGATCGCACACAATTTGAAAAAGATAGGGAAGCATGCCAACGTCAGAGTGCTGTTCTCTGCGCCGGTAAAGCTGTTGTCCATATGTGCGCAAGTGAATAAACCCGCAAGAGTGCCGCAGCTCTGCGCAGTAAATCATAAATTTAGCTACATACTTTGCGCGGAAAATGTAGTTTATTCGATCCCGCTGTCCTGTGGAAGGATATACGTGGGCCAAACAGGAAGGTGCGTAAACACAAGATTGAAGGAGCACGAGTACAACGTGAAAAATACTATTAGCGGCCACCTTGGCATCCATTGTAGGGATTGTGGGTGCACACCGCAGTTTCGCGACACTAAAATCCTAGCCAGGCACAAAGAAAGAAAAACTAGGGAGATAATGGAAGCGGCTGAAATTGCACGTCTGAAAGATCAATGTGTAAGTAGGGCATCTGTAACCCTCTCTCAAAAAGAGATGGACTTCTTATCTGTAGGATGAACACGTGTGCGGTGAGACAGTAGCGATATGGTGATGGTGACGCTTGTGCGAATTTTTTGATATTGTGGTGGACACGTGTTATTTGCCTGCCATGATATATATTTGTTCGCATTTCCTAATAAAGATCAGTTGTAAGTCAGCGCTCTGTCCTGTCTCTTCCTTTCTTCCTGCCGTTGTTTGCGCTGTGTTTTTAATCATGTATTTGAACCAACTCGCCCAAGCTTTAACCTTAGCAAATGGTCGAAATAGTTATGCAGTTAAATCTGGATATAACGAAATTGATAAATTCCCAGAAAAATTCGTTATAAAGAACCTGCTCGGCTGCTGCCCCCCGACCTTCTGCGACAAACCATACGGCTCATTAAAGATGGGCTGCGCCGAAACGCCTTAATTAGTAGGGGGGGGTGTTGGGTATGCTACTGTTGTGCTGGAACTTCGCAACTATACGTTGCCCCCAGTTGATTTCATGGCGCCAGACGATGACGAGCAGCCTGACCCCCAGGCAACATCCCCTCCAATTGTTGTTTGCTCCGGCCCTCTTCGGCAGCGTGACCCTCCTCTCTTCAGTGGCACTGAGGACAAAGACGCAGAAGACTGGCTTGACGAGTATGACCTGGCAAGCAAACACAACAAATGGCATGATGCCCACCAGCTTACCAGCGTCATCTTCTACTTGACTGACATCGCTGAACTGTGATTTCGTAACCACAGCACTGACCTTCCTACCTAGTCAGCCTTCAAAATGGCCTTCATTCAACTTTTCGGCCGCCTGGAACTTCGAAAATTGCGTGATGAACAGCGCCTGCGAGGCCGAGAACAACAAGATGGTGAGAGCTTCACCAGTTATATTGAAGATGTGGTCGCTCTTTGCAGGCGCATCGACTCCTCAGTGACAGAGGCGGAGATGATCAAGCATATCCTCAAAGGTGTGTCTGACGATGCCTTCCAGATGCTCATCGCTAAAAATCTGCCAATGGTAGCCGACGTCCTACAGCTGTGCTAAAGCTATGATGAACCCCGGAACCAACGGAAATCTACTCGTCGCACCACTGCATCAGGTGTAGCCATTGCCACTCTCAGGTCTCCTGGTCTTGCGCAGGACCATGCTGCTTTACTTCGAGACATCAAGCAGTTTGTGTGTGAAGAAGTCGCCCGCCAGCTCTCCCTTTTGCCTTGCGCCACTGATCCCGCCTCACATTCGCTACTGAAGTCAATACAACGTGTTGTTCAGGAGCAAGTTGCCGAGGTTATTCTCGCAGCCATTGTATCACCAGTGACTGCTCCGCTCACGTATGCCGAAGCATTGGTCACCCCTTGACGATTTCCCTCTGCCAACTCCTACATTGCTGCACGCCCCTTCGTGCCATCGCCTCAGCTTGTGCATCAGGCTGCTCGACCACCCTCCAGACCGACACCTCATTTCCATTATCCATGGTGCACTCAAGACAATCGCCCCATATGCTACACGTGCAGTTTCCCTGGCCACGTAGCACGGTTTCGCCATCGACCTGGGTCTCTGCAGCATGGTGACGTGAAGTCATACGGTTACGAATTCGCGCCCCGACCTCAGCATGATGACATGAGGCTACACAGTTACAATTTCGCCCCCCAACCTGAGCCAGCTTCATCTGGACCATATAACACTCCTGACTCTTCGACTCGACGGCACTTCAACGTACGTCGGTCGCCATCACCGTGACGCCGTTCTCTTTCTCTCATGAGGCGACGTCTCCCGCCTGACCCTGAGGAAAACTAGGAAACGCAGCTCCGGAGGCAAGAACTGCGTAGCTTTCAAACTTTTCAAGGCCTTGTTTTTCACCGTGTAATGTTATTGTTGGTTCTGTTGACGGTGTACCAGTTTCAGCATTTGTGGACACAGGAGCCGCAGTTTTTGTTATGCCTGAGAAGCTTCGCCGACAACTACGAAAAGTAACGATGCCTCTTCACGACTTCGCTTTGAGCACTGCTAATGCGCAACACATTCAGCCTTTCGCTGCGTGCACTGCACGAGTTGTCATCGAAGACGTTTTTTATACGGTCGAATTTGTCGTGCTTGCGCAATGTTCCCACGATATCATTCTAGAATGGGACTTCCTACGTACTCACAATGCTGTTATAGACTGTGTTCGTTCCGAGGTCGAATTGTCGCCGCTGTGCGACTCTGTTTTAGTCGACTCGCCGTGTCGACTAAAAAAAAAAATGGCATTTACACAGGCCCCCTTTTCTTTATAATATGTCATATATATACTATTAGAATTCGATTCAAACTTATTCTACTAAAATCACTATTTGCACAAGCCTACAGATGTTCCTTTTGCCTTAATTGCCCTCGATCACATCACAATCACATCCCATCCAAGGACGTGACTTGATTAGCAATGAAGGCAGTTGAATCTGTTCTTGCATGTCATGGACAGAGGATATTGCAGCTGAAGGCGACCAAGGAACTGCTGAGGTTTTCGAGGAAAGCGGACCTGGTCAAGCAGCTGAGACTGTGATGTTGCGTTCCACGCCATATTAATGGACTGTTATTGACTGCATGCTTGATTGCGTGTGATGTGCTATCTTTCTCTTTCCTCTCCCTGTTTGAGTCTCCCCATCCTGTTCCCACGTGTAGGGTAGCAAACCGGTAATCCTGAACTAGTTGACCTCCTTACTTTTTCTTGTCTACCATTATGTAACATGTGACCACAAACTAAGCTCCTCAGTGCTTAATAAATCTTACAAAACTTTTTGCCAGAAAGAAAAGAAAACAGTACGCTTACTTGAATGGGCTAATTACACGTCCTGAACTGGCCCGCCTGAAGTGTGGGTAGCGGTTCCAGTTCATGCGTTCATTGGTAGTCATGGCCAGCCACACCATCTGAAACACATGGCACCATCAAAACACCGAAACAGGCTGCAGAAGATCTATTTCTTGAACTCCCACAGTGGCACTCCTTGAGGGGTCATCACATCACTGTGATGCTGACTGTTCAAATGCGGAAGAATGCAGGGTGGCCCTTGAGACTAAGTTACAGTAGCCAGTGTCAATGTGGAGAGCAAGGTGCGCTGAGATAAGGTGGACTACATTACAGTTTTCTTGGAAATTGGCGATTTCTGAGCAGGCAAATGATGACTGTATTAATAACAAAAAAACAAAAAACAGAAGTGCCAACAGAATCAATTGCAGCAAAGGTGAAAAATAGCCTCATGTTGACAACTAGTGGCCTATCCCTGACAAGGCTGCACCGCAAAAAACAGTATATTTGTCTTTATATGTAGCAGTGAAGGTAAAAAAAGGTCGCCAGTTAAGGGGACATTAAAGGCAAACAATGACTTGGTTTAATAGTGAAAGTTGGGTCAGTTGGTGGTTCATAATTGGGAAGTAAAAACAGCGCGTAAATATAGACAAGGACACAGAAAGAGACGAGACCACGCTGACGTCATCAGCGCGGTATCGTCTCTTCCTCTGTCCTTGCCTAATTTGTGCGCTGTTTTTACTTCCCAAGAATGACTTGGTTATTATAAACTGCACTCTGAGAAATCGATTACAAAAGTTTCACTGTCATAAGTTCATTATTAGAGGAAAAAATCAAGGTTGAAGTAACATTTTTAAATTTCGCACTGAAATCTCCGCACGTGATGTCACAAAATTCAAAATGTATTTTTCGTATTTTCATGAGATTGGCTTAATGAAATTTCTCGAAAATTTGCATGCTAGATTTATGGCTCCTACGAAACAATGTACTTCATTTTTATCGAGTAGAAGCTATCCAGGACCCAGTAGATCACCTGCAAAATTTACTATGTCACGGTGCTTGGTGCGATAGGATGGGAATTACGATTGTTGCGTTGAATCGAAGTGTGGTTAAAGCTTCTATGTTAAGCATTTCATGCTAACCTCACATTCGAAAATGAATGTACCTAAACAGTCCTCTTTGCGCTATGGTAATTTTATAATGTCATGTCAGATATATTTTTCTAATAATTCGTTTTTTGTTAGTTTCATGACAGAATGAAATTGCTTATAAAAATAACGAAGTGTGTTGTGTCAATGAATGCGTGTTTTGTTTGACATTGTAACTCATCTGCTGCAGTGCCTTAGGGTAAAAAATTTGATGTGCAGCGGCTTTTGTTTTGTTTGTAATTTACTTTTTAATCGTCCCTCTTTAGGCGACATAATAAGTTGTAGTTAGACACTAGAAGTTCTTGCGTGCCCAATGAAAAGCATTCTACCATGGTGATTTTTCAAATTGGTTCGCTACGAGCCACCTAAGCATGATGTGAAAAAGTAAGCTTGAATCCCTTGCCTCTCGTCCCGTGTAGCCACCGCGAGCCTCCTTCCTTCCCTGTTCTCTTGTGTATCCGGGCTGGAGAATCACATGACGCATACTCACCAAGAACAACATGCGTAGGTAAGGTCACGCACGCATGATGTGCCCCGGCCTACTTGTGTACGTACGCCATCAATATTGTGTCACTCGACGTTCTCTGTTGTGTATTACCAGTTTCTGTGGGATGGATCAGTCGGTGCGTGTACTTTAGCAAAGATCATGTATTGTGACCGCGATACACCACGTCACTCCGCTGAAACTGCGTTCAGAGACGGCGCACCAAACATGAGCTAAGCAATGTCAGGGTTGGCGAAGGCACGATGCAAGATCGATGAGAAGACGAACACAAGCGAAATGAATAAGTACTAGTAGTACTAGTAGTAGTCATCGTAGTAGTAGTAGCAGTAGTATACAGTAGTAGTAGCAGTGCTGGTATGTGTGATTTTATTATGTAAAAAAAAAAACACGATATGAATATGAGAGATGCCGAAGTGGAGGTATTCGCAAATTTTGACCATCTGGTGTTCTTTAACGAGCACTGACATCGCGCAGTACACTGGCATCTACTTTTTCGCTTCCATCTAGATGTGACTGCCGCAGCCACAATTGAAACCTCGGCATTCAGGTCAGACCGAGGCAAACGTGAAACGAGGACTAATGAGCGAATAGCATCTCGAGGGTATTCAAAACAAAAATAAAAATAACAAGCTGAGATTGTGTTTGCGTGTTCTATTAATTTTCTCAGCTTTCATTCATTATACTGATTTTGAAAGAGCAGTGCTAAGACAGAGGGAAAAGAAAAACAGAAACAAAGAGCATTTTCCCTTCGTCTTTGCGCTTCCCTTTCAAAATGATATGATGCAGCCAGCCCAAACCAAAGTAATTGATATATCGGGTTTAACGTCCCAAAACCACCATATGGTTATGAGAGACCCCGTAGTGGAGGGATTCGGAAATTTTGACCCCCTGGAGTTCTTTAACGTGCACCCAAATCTGAGCACATGGGCCTACAACATTTCCGCCTCCATCGGAAATGCAGCCGCCGCAGCCGGGATTTGAACCCGCGACCTGCGGGTCAGCAGCCGAGTACCTTAGCCACTAGACCACCGCGGCGGGGCACCCCAAACCAAAGTACTCCTCATTCATGCTACACAACAGGACACAGAAATCACACATGCCAAGCAAAGTAACGCTCTTAATGAGGTACCGTTTAAAGTGCAGGAAATCAGGAGGTGGGACATTTTACATCTGTTTTTCTAGATATAGCTGGCATTTGAAGAAGTTCTGATAAAGAGCGTACGGTATGCGACATCAGCCCACCAATGTCAGCGTAAAAAAATGACGTAAAAACAGGACCATTCCTTGCTGTATGTCACTCCCTAGATCATGGGGCGCACGCCCCCGGGAAGGGATAATGGCATTCATTAGAAATAGAGCATTTTTCAGCGACATGCAATTTTGCAAATCTTAACAGGAATGATCCGGAGTGCCCAGGGCACTATTACGCTTGTCAGGTCGAAATTCTCAAACCTAGTGAGGGGCCCTTTAAGGTGTTCACCAATAGGGGAGAAATCGGTCCTATGCAATTAGACCTAGCATGCCTGTCTTCTGGGGCATCAGTGGTCTGGTTATTTGATCCTCCGCTGCCCTTCCCAGCCACAATGAAACAAAAGAGACCAAGGAGAGTGTTAACTGAATGGTGAACACTTGACGCACAATGCTAGACAATAAAACGAAAGACCACATACAGTGAATCTTGCGGGAAAGGCATTCTTATGTTTAATTGTTGGTACCTTTCTGCTATCTTAAACAGTATCATTTTTTTTTTGCTTCTTGCCGTAGATACAAGTCACTGACGTCGTTTGAGGATATTTAAATTTTTGTAGAAATTTATTGTGCCTATGATGATGATTTTGAGGGTCTAAAACGCTATTTTAACTGCCTGTCTTTGGCGCCTCAAACAAACTTTTTTAGTGCCTAAGAATCCGGCCTCTACTAATGACCATTAGCTGATTTCCACCAAGGCTGCATTATGAGAAACAAACGATTTGTCTACAGAGTAGTTAGCAGAAAAGGTAAAAAAGGGCCTCGTGTTAACAACTTGTAGTTGATTTTCAACAATGCTGCATCACAACAAACTTGTGTACAGAGTCATTTGCGGCGGCTGGTGGGTTATTTCCAACTATGCTACATTATGAACCAAACAGACTTTTCAACAGGGTTCTGATGAGTGAATGTAAATAAAATGATGCAGCTGAGGAAGCAAATGCAATTGAGACTGACAATGATGAAGATTCCGTTTGTGTTTGTGATCAACTGCATTTTTCATGAGGAAACCATCACTACTTTCCTGCTGTCCCTGCTAGTACTACCGTAGCCTTGTTTCATGCCTATTCGGTGGCTTTTGTCGGTGTCATCAAATGAAGGAAAATGCAAAATAGCATCGAAATCAAGCTTTATTGTGCCTAATAAAGTTAAAGTTTTAATTTGTTTTCATGTACAGCTTAGTTGCTCCCATGACTTGGAGATCATGCAAGCATCTGAGTGACCCTCACCAATTTGTATCATCCAGTATTCTACTGTGATGAAAATCTGCTGAGCAGAACTCACCTGGTATAGCTGGCAGAGCAGCAGGCAGCTGACCCAGGCGCTGTGCAGGAGTGTGTTGAATGCAACCCAGGCCACCCACCCACTCTGGGACAGGGCCGCCCAGAGGGTGTGCTCCTTCCAGACTGGAGGAAATGACACAAACCTTAGGGTCTGTTCCCCTTGCCTATATTCACTAGAAGGTAGCCACTTAGAGAAGCACCCTCTCTATACACATCATCACCACATGGAGTGATAAAATTTAGGTTAATCCTTTCCTGCCCGAGAAATGCACACTTGCTCGGAAGTTATCACTATTCGCTCTGTTCCAATGAACTTTTCAAGAGTTCAGCTCAGACTATTTGGTGATAAAACACACCCACACATATATGTGGGCTGGACTTCTGTTCCTGCTATCGGCTGCAGCGAGGAGTACACTCAGAATGGCTAATTATAAGAAAAAACACGTTTAGCACTGTGCGTGGAATATTTTAGAGAATTGTTCGCCACTCATAGGGGCATTATGTCACTTGCACTTTTGACGTGTCCTTGCAATCGAAGTGCGACCTAAGAGCCTGCAACGACAATCCAATGTCAAGCTGTGCAGTGATGACCTGTGGTCATGTGGCTTAAGTCGCTCGTCTGTGCCAGTAAATAGTTTTTTCACTCCAGGAGACTTCTGATGAATTGATCTTGTGAAACTTTTTTTTTCCGCTTTTACTTGTTTCCCACTTTGGTGATGTGCAGAATGCCTCAGTGATCTGATGCAGCTACTGACAATGATCATATGTGAATTTGTTTGATCTTTTGCGGGCTTCTTCGCAAAGTCTTTAATATCTTGACTTGAGGCACACAGTCGTTTTGTCAGCAGTGCTTTACGAAATTATTGGAATAATCAGCCTGAGAAATGTGGAAAATGATTCTCGGCATCAAAAAGAACATCGGCTCATTAGGGACTTCAGGCAGGTAAAGCTCTGTAGCAAAATGTTCATTCTTCCAAACAGCAGTACCTTTACTTCAGCTCGCAGCAAATGGTTACCTGACCAAGTTTGCTTGGAGGCAGACTGCTAAACAATTACTCCTTCTCACTGCAGTTTTCATCAGCCACTTGGCTGAAACCACAAATATGAATCTCTGTCAATTGGTCTTCATTGTAGTTACTCAATTCTCACACAAGAAATAGAGAATCTAAGCATTATTTCCATATAATCTTCATTCTCTATTGTGAAAATTATTGTATGTTAAAAAAGAGTATATTCTACACCCACAATTGTGATCCCTGAAGTTCGCTAGTTTAAGCAATTTTGACCGGCACAGCGATTCGCAATCCCTCAAAAACGCTGATGTATATAGGAAAGAAGATATTGGGGAATAAAGAGAATGATGTTAAGGCATCGGATGCATCGTTTCTGTATGTTCCAAATACAACATACTGGCGACAAGATTTCAACCCAAGCAACAGCAACGTTCTTGCCGATTTCTGCTGCATCATCACAATGAGTGTTGTGGGATTACAACCACCATTGCCTTTCCTGCCTTCGCCTGGTCATCCGGCTGTCCCATGGGACCAGTGGAAGCAGGCCTTTCAGACGTACATGGTGACTTCTGGAGCATCAGATCTTCCAGCCAACCACCAGAAAGCGATCCTGCTGACCTGTCTTAGCATTGGAGGGGCAGTGGAAAGCCGGCGAATTTGCAGTCTGGCTCTGCTACCACCGCTCTTCTCAGCTTTTCGGGTACAGGCGACACTGGCTAGACAAACGATACGAATGACTCTGCAATTGCCTAGCTTTCGGACCATTTCAACCTTTCAGTCAACGTCATCATGGCTCAAAAACGCTCCAGTCCCCGTGCTCAGCTTTCAAGTGAGACAGTGGTTGAATACGTCATTGCTTTGCGAATTCTCATCGCTGACTGTAATTTTGGAAGTCTCGCTGATAAGATGTTACGTGACCAGCTCGTCTCGAAGACTACGACTCATCAGTTACGTGAGCGTAAGGCTCCTCACTGACGCTCTCACGAGCTATTACACTCGCTAACCAGTACGAACAAGCCATGAGCCAAGCTTTAGTTCGCCACATTAAAAAGGTGCAAAGCTCTTCTCTGCCTCCAGGAGGAAGAAATGAACGTACATGTTGTGCTCAGTGCAAAGCCAAACCAATGGTGTATCCTGTACAAGGCACCTCAGACTTTCGAGCTTGTTATCATTGTGGGGCGGCTGATCACCTTGGAATTAATCTTGCATGTAAGGCTCACCCGGCGCAGATGTCATCGCTGGAAAAAGATTGAACACTTAGACGTTATATGCAAATCGTCTAGATACTCTGCGAAAGTTTAACAAGTTAATGACGATGATGACACTAACTCTCAGTGCACCAGCAGAACAGTCTGTGTTGTCAAGGGACACAAGCATGGCATTTACGCATCCATCCCAGTGGAAGGTCAAACTATCTTGTTTCTAGTTGATATGATAAACTTTGTCATTTTTTTGGCTGAAGAGCTCTATCGTCAGTTTTTTGCGAGCACTTGCCCTTTGAAGTCAACCTCAGTGCAGCTTTTCGACTACTCTAAGTCAAAAATAACAGTTCAAGGAGGTTTTGTCACTTCAGCTGCATTTCAAGACATAACTGCTTGCATTCTTATGTATGTCATATCTGAAGGCACCACTGTATTGGGCTCAGACACCATATTCGCACTACAGATGAACAATGAAGGTAAATCATTTCAGTGCCTTGCATTGTTTTCCAGCACTCCTACATTGCCAACTGAAATGCATTCAGAGTATGAACACCTCTTTGACCAACAGCTCGGACTTGCCAAAGGATTCAAACACTAAGTTAAGGTTCGTGAGTCCATTCCACCCACTGCAAGCAAACTGAATGGCTGCCGTTTACCCTACGTGAGCAAGTGTCAGCTGAGCTGCAGAAACTTCAAGCTCAAGACATAATCGAGCGTGATGATGCCTCTCAGTCGGTTTCACCTATAGTGGTTGTAAGGAAAAAATATGGCTAAATACGAATGCGTGTCGATCTGTGAGAGCCTAATAAAGCTATAATTGTTGATAGCTTTCCACTACCACAGACAGATGAGCTGTTGCACAGCTTAGCTGGCGCCAAGCGATTCTCGAAGCTGGATTTGGTGTTTGCTTACCATCAACTTGAACTAGATCTTGAAAGTCGTGACCTGACTACTTTCATTACGCACGACGGGCTTTTTCGCTTCAAACGAGTATGCTTTGTGGGGGAGCACGTGCGCTCAGTCACCCTCTCTTTTACGGCAGCGCAAAAGCCTAGTTCCGAGAACACCCCCACGGCCGGTGCTCGCGATCCCCCTTTCTCGTCCCGCGGAATGGGTCTCCCCTCCCTCAGCGAGAAAAGGTATTATTCTCGTCAGGGAGAGGAAAACCGAGGTCAATGAACAAAACTGGCATACGGACAGCTGCATGCTCTCTCTGACACCGGCCAGGAACGAAAGAGGTCTAACCCACACCCTTCCCTGCGAGCCGAGGACGACAACGACCAAGGAGTAAGCGTCTAGCCTAGCTTTCTGTACTATCTCCTCGTGACATTTGCGCGCTATTGCTAACGCCTAGCAATAAAGTGTTGTTGTTGACCTAGCCTGTTGCCTTATTCACCAAAAACCGTGTAGCTGCAATAAGACTAGCTACAGATAGGGGACGTTAATCATGCATGGTACGGCAGTGTGCGGCTAGAACATTAGTTAAGCTTCTGCGTCAGCCGTACATAGGACGGACCCCCTACATCTGGCACCCAACGTAACAAATTTGCCAACGTGGCTGGATTTGTGGACGCGACAAACTGCCGACACTCCCCCACACGTAGGATAACAGGCATGTCAGAACTCCAAGATTTGTCAATGTTGTCTGATGTTGCATTGCAGAGTGGCGACCCTGCTCGAGCGCGTGGTCCCGGTGTCGCTCACGAAGCAAGCGGTTCCGATAATCGGACATCGCACCCGCACGGTAGAATAGTTCCGCGACAGCTTCTGCGGGGAATTCCTACCAGCTAATTATGAGTGGCGTTAGCGGAAAGAACTGGAGCTACGCACCCAGCATCTGGACGAATCCTTGCTGGAGTATGTACGGGCAATGGACGAACTGTATCCTCTCACTAAACCTTACGCCACAATGCGGAAAAAGTCAAGCGCGTTATGCGTCAAGCGCACCCGACTTCTGCGTAGCACTTCAGGGCATGTAAGTTCGCAGACCTAGAAGAGCTCGTCACCGAGGCAAAGCGCATACAAGCGGACATCCTTGCTGCGCGATCATATTTACCAACTCCGCTCGCAGTGCAGTCAATTGAGCCTCGCTGTGCGCGACGCGGTAGCCTCAGAAGTGTTTAGGGGTAACGCGTCAGCATCGTTCGCTGATGAGCATGTACCACACGATTGGGCGCTGTCAGACAGCGCTTTGGACCCCCTACGCTTGCGTGCTCCGTACGGCCCACACCGCGCCCGCGCGTGATACTCCAAGGCAGGAGCACACGGTCGACACGAGGCCTAACGAGCAGCGCGACCCAGAGCGAAAACCACCTGATCGAAGTGACTTACAATCGAGCTGGCGTGGTGTCCGCGGTCCTTGCTATTGGTGCGATGCACCAAGGCACATTGCCCGCGAATGCGACCGCACACCGGGTCAGGAACAAGTGCGCGGTTCGGGACATGGACGGCGCCGCCGATGATCCACAACGGGCACCGAGGGGTGATCAGTAATTCCTCCGGTGCGTTCGGATCACTTGCACCGTCAGTCTGTCGCACAGGTGAGGCCGTAGACTCGCCCGCACCGCTAATCGAGTTAACGAAGCTCGAAAAAAATTCATAGCATTTTTGGATACTGGGGCAAGCACCTCTTCGTTCGGCGACGATGTGTTGCACCATCTCCGCGAGAACAATATCCGCTTGAGACAAAGTAACACCATCTTCCGCCTGGCTACAGGCACAGCACAATCAAGCGGCACGGTTAGGCTAGTCATCCACTGGGATAGACGCATGGGGCGACAACGTGTAATGCATCTTCCTGGGCTGTCAATGTCTCTAATACTGAGTCGAGAATTTCTAGCCAAGTCGAGTATTCTCATTGAGATTGCGAACGGCGGTTACCGAGAGCGCGACGAAGACGCGCTAAAGC